AGGACTCTGCCCTGTGCTGCACTTCCTGCCCCAATTACCTCTTACGTGAAAGGTGCACAATATGGACATGCCATGTCCCATGCTGGGGAGGAAGGACAGCCTGGCGGGTAGGGCACTGGCCTGGGATGCGGAAGACCCAGATTCAATTCTCTGCTCCACCATGGACTTCCTGTCTTACCTCAGGCAAATCACTGAGCCTCTGTGCCTCAGTTTCTCTTCTGAGAAATGGGATGATAAAGCTTCCCTACCTTACAGGAGTCCCGGAGAGGAGGCGGCAGCACTGGGATAAAAGCACTGACCCTTGAAATGTCACAGAACAAAGCCCCTATGACCGAATCAGCCACAGGTCCCATATTGTATTTGTGTTTCCTTTCTGATCTTCCCATGCATGGTTCTGTGTGGAGCTGCCACTCTGGAGAAGTGTCTCTCTTCAGGAGCATTTGCTTTGTCCTTTCCTCAGGATGTGAGGGACTTGTTTGAATTAATTACATCAGAAAATGTACTGTTCATGTGTTAACTGCAACAGAAATACCTTTGTGTGTTAGCAGTTACCTAGCTCCTTCAAGGCAGCAATTAACACCTACTGTTAAATACCAAGCACTTCTGCACCACGGTTGCCCAGGTGCATATGCTTCCTGGGCCTTTGGGGATGGGGGTATGGTTGGCAATTGCATGGGTGAGTATTACTATATCTCCCTGCAGTATTTGGCGCTTCAAACGTTCGTAAGTAGCTTGCAGGCTCATCCTTCTCCCCCATCCCCTCCCACACACCTGCCTTGTTTCACCCCCAAAGTTTTGATCAATCTGGGCCTCTAATCCTCCTCTGGTCCATCTAGTCTAATACTGGCAGCGGCCAAAACATAATCACTCAGGAGAAAGTGGAGAACCTCCTAGGATGCCCCACCTGCTGGGTTATGGGATGGGCAGAGAATTCCTTCCATCCCTTGTGAGTGACCTTGCAACCTAAGATTAGATTTCCCTTGGATAACCAAGCAGGCAGGACTCAATACAGGGCAGCTGACACTGATGGCAGCTGTGCAGAGTGGTGGCTTCCTGCTGGCTGGGATGCGCGCCTCTCCCAGGGCCAGGGCCACTTTTCTCCGGACAAAGCTAAGAAACCTCCCAGTAAAGAGTGAAGGGAAAAACAAAGGTCAGCCTAGTTTGGAGAGAACCAAAAGAAAGTGCAAAAAGAAAAGGAGGACTTGTGGCACCTTAGAGACTAACCAATACAGCTCACTTCATCGGATGCATACTGTAGCTCACGAAAGCTTATGCTCAAATAAATTGGTTAGTCTCTAAGGTGCCACAAGTCCTCCTTTTCTTTTTGCGAATACAGACTAACACGGCTGTTACTCTGAAACCTGTCAAAAGAAAGTGCAGGGCTAGACCTGGTCTATGGGGCTAGGGGAGAAAAAACAATGGTACCAAATGGACCCTGGAGGCTGAAAGCATTCCTGATGTTACTCCATGGAAGCCACTGGCATGACACCAGGGATGAACTTGGCCCCCAGCACACAGGCCTATTATCACTTGTGAGCCCTTGCTGTGGCCAGAGATTGGCTGGACAGTTTCACTTTGGTCGCAGGCAACTCCCTTGACCCCCCAGTGGAGTTTGTTGAATTGAAGAGGATTGTGCTGGGTGGGGGCAGGGCCTTTGGAATGCAGGGAAGCCTGAATGGGCCTGGGTGCCGGGGTGCTTGGGCTGGGGGGAGTTAAACGAGGCGTGAACCCGAGTTCCCTTCCTTCCCCCTGGGTTTAGTTACTCCTTTGATTAGAGAGTGTAAATGTGAGAAAACAGAGCTGGTGCCAATTAAAGCTGGCTCCCTTCTCAGAGCTTGTCCCCTGTGAACCACCCGCTTCTTGAAGGCTTGTTAGCACAGCCAGTGTGGGAGAATATCCTGCATGGGGCAGCTGGGCCTCCTGGCTGTAATAGTGGGGCTGGCAGATCAGGATGAGGTGCCCTGTGGAGAGTCAAAGATGCCCTGCAATGTGTTTGGCTAGGAGATTGGGGTGGGCTAGCCGGGTGGGAAGATGCCTGGAGGCAGGGATGGGCTGGCAGGCTGTCAAAATGGCAGGGGGGGGGGGCTGGCAGGGTCTGGGGGTGGCAGGGCACCCCGCCACCCCTGAAGCCTGCCTGCCTGCCCCCGCCATGGGGCACCCCCCCATCCCTGGAGCCAGCCAGCCTGCCTGCCTGCCCCCCCAGGGGGCACCCCCCACCCCTGTAGTGGGGGGGCTGGCAGGCTCCCGGGGGGCCCAGGCGCCCCGTGGGGCGGGCGGGGATTCCCAGCCGGGGTTGGCAGGGCCAGGGCCCCGCCGTGCCACGCTCCCCGCGGGCTCCGGGCTGGGTGGGGGGCGGGGCCGGGGGCGGGGCCTAGCCCGAGCCCGCCCCCAGCCTGACAAGGGATGAGGTAATCCGGGAAGCGGCTGAAATTGAAGCCCGGCCGCGGCAGTGGCGGCAGGAGGGAGCCGGGAGCGGCAGGTGCAGCGAGGGGCCGGTCCCGGCTGCAGCGCCGGGCCCCGGGGAGGCGCCATGACCGAGCGGTGCAGCCTCTGGAGCGCCCTGTCGGCGGCCGCCTGCTGCTTCTACCGGGGATCCTTCATGCAAGTGCAGGTGAGGGGCTGGCTGCTGTGGGGCACGGGGCCGGGCACGGCCACGGGGGGCACCGGCTGGCTGCTGTGGGGCACGGGGCCGGGCACGGCCACGGGGGGCACCGGCTGGCTGCTGTGGGGCACGGGGCCGGGCACGGCCACGGGGGGCACCGGCTGGCTGCTGTGGGGCACGGGGCCGGGCACGGCCACGGGGCATGGTGATGGAGACGGGCACCCTCTGATGCAGACCCTAACATGCTAGGGGGCAGAGGTCAATTCCACCAGCCACTCCAGACTGGGGACTGCTCCTGGGGTGGGGGGAGGGGGGTCCCCCTCCCCGGCTCTGACTCATTGAGCAGGAGAGGTAGCACAGGTGTGCAGGGAGCATTTTGACTCGAGGTTTGGGAGGCAAATCACCCCCATGTTTGGCTGGGTCTCTGGGGTGCCCTGGGGGGGGCGAAGGTGGCAAGGAGCATCCCATGACTCAGGGCTAGGGGGGCAAAGGCAGCCCCCGGGGCTGGACTTGGCAGCATGGGAAGATGCAGGTGCAAGCAGGGATATGGGGAGGGGCACTGAGCTGCTGTCCACTGCAAGGTGAGGGAAAGTGGGTCAGAGTTACCCCCCACTACCTGGCTGAACCTTGCTAGGCTGCTGCTTTGGGGAACATAGCTCTTGGGGCTTGGTGGTCAACTCTGCCCCCTCCTCCCCAGCCGTGTGTCAGCAGCAGGGTGCCAGCTAGGTCCGTTCCCAACTGGAGATGCCCCCGGACCCAGATCTGCCCCTGGCTTCAGCCCTTGTTGGCCATACTTGGCTCTGGAGAGCGACTGAGTCAGGCTAGTGCTAACCCGGTTGCAGCCACTTGCTCTGCAGAGCCCTGAGGAGCAATCAAGAAGGGCAGAGGGGGCTGCAAAGGCTCACCTGGCACAACAAAGTCAGGCTGGAGACTGGGAGCTAAATCTAGCCCCCTCTCCTGCTGCAGTTGCTGCCTTGTATGTGCTGCCCACACCCCGGCTGGGGGAGCGGTGAGGATTCCCCCTGCTTTCAGACACAGCCAGTCTGCTTTGCAGGCTCAGCAGCAGCTGCCTGCCACAGGGATGCAGCAGGGAAAGTAGCCAGGTCCTAATAACATGCGTGTGCCACTTGCTGGGTACCCGCACTGGCAGCGGGGTTGGTGTTGGAGGGCTCCAGAGCCCTGAGAAAGCCTGGAGGGAGACTGCAGGGACGGGTGGAGGGATGCTCCCTTTTGTCTGACAGGGGCTTTTTAAACACAATTTAATGAAAATTGAATCCGTCTGGTTGGGACTCAAAAACCAAAATCCCTTCGCAATAGCAAGGGTCCAGGTTTTTGGCAGTTTTTCATTGTGGGTTGACAACAGCTGTAAGATTGGAATAATCATCCCTCCTTTCTCCCCCCTCCCCTTTGCCTTGTCTAGTTAGACTGGATTATGAACTCTCTGGAGCAGGGGCAGTCTCCCACTAGGTGCATGTACAGCACCTAGCACAAACAGGGCCCTGACCTCAGCTGGACTACAAACACTACTGAGGAATACTCCACACTTGGTCCTGTTTTCAAGCAACCTTTCCCCTCTACCGTCCTCCCCCTTCCCCCGGGCTTTCACCAAACTGGATTAGCCGAATACAATCTAAACTGAGCACAGAACCCCCAGTTTCTAGGCTTTTGCAGTGAATATTTTTCACGCAGCCCAAAAAAGCAACATGGAGTCTCAGCCTCATAAGAAAAGCCTCTTTGGCCCCTGCCTTTGTCACTTCCTTTCTGAAGGACTTGCTGCCCGACCCAACCGGGACCTTTACACCTGTCTGACCAGGAGACCATGGACAGACAGCAACGTAGGAAGAGCAAAGTTGACCTGTAGTTACAGCAGTGTCGTCAATGTGCTGTGTTGAGGTTGGCGGGTGAGCAGATACAATCCACAACCTAAGACACCCAAATCAGACACAGAGGATGCTTCTACCAGTGCTCCACTACCACCACTGGCCCTCTCCCCTGCAGCTCACTGTGTGCAAGGGTGCATTTAAATCCTTTCTTAAAAAACATACGCTTCTTCCAGAAAGTCTTCTGGCGAGAACCCACCCAACGTCAGCTCCAGACTTACCCCAAAAAACCGTCTGTGGTTTGAAGTTCACCTGCTCGGGCTGTACTACAGCATTGGCTGGGCCTGATTTCAGCTAAAGGACAGCTGGGGTCAAGGAGCAAGGGCCTGGTTCTTGCCACCTTACACCTGGTGTCACCACTTACACTTGTGCAGAGCAGGTGTGAAAGGCTACCTGTACTGGGGCAGTAGCAAGCAATGGAGAAGCAGGTCCCTTCAGTATCTGTTTCCTATCACACCAAGCGTACAGCAGGTGTCTGGCAAATGACAGGAGTTGAACAGAGCATTAGAAGAGTCCAGCTGCATTTGACTGGAAATTCAGAGGAGAGTAATCTAGTACAGTATGGGTTTAAAAACACCACTTTGTGGAAGGGATGACTTACCGCTGGCACGCCCCCTCCTGGCTGGGCACAGTGTAGCAGTATCTTCGGCTGTAGCAGCCCCTGTTAACAGCCAGTCTGGCCCTGTAGTGGTCTACTTCTCAGGATTCAGCCCTCCCGCTGAGTCACATGTAGTCTCACCCCTTCCAGGGTAATAGAGTAACAAACCAGTGTCCAATCCCTCTACCTGGTCTGCCACCCTTGAGTCTGAGCCCAGTAGGTTATACACCCCTTTTCTTGGGCTTTGTACCACCTTACCAGGGGCTGGCAGTGGAATGCAGGCCCACCCTCCATACTAGGCTCCAGTCCAGGGCCCTAGGAAGGCAGTGAAAGGTCATTCCAACAGACTCTCTGATACTGCCTCCCTGGATGTATTCCTACCAAGCCTTTCTTCTCATCCTCCAGGAGCTTTTTCTTATAGGTCTGGTCCCTCCCTAGTAACAAAAGATTAGTTGCAGAGTTCCTCCCTGCACCCCCTCCATTATATGCTACACTTCCTCTCTTTATAGCATCACCTAGTCCCTCCCCAGCTAGGTTTCATCATTCATTAGGCCTAGCCAACCCTCCAGGTGCAACCAGGTGGGTTAATTGTGTGGACTCTCCGGTCCACTTTAGTCCTTTCATCAGCTGTGTGGGGTAGGCACCATATCACAAGTCCACGGCTTATGTCCCAGGTAACTTGGAGCTCCTTAAATCGTGAGGACTCTCCAGAACTGGGAGGTATAGCCCTCTGAGCTTCAGTGATCCTGTCTGCACTGTGTGAGTGTAGGCAGAGACCAGTCTAAATCCCAAAAGCCGTGTCACTGCAAGCACTGGTCTCAGTGTAAAACCTGGGCAGGATTTTCTGGGGACAGCTTCTCTTCTGATTGTTCCAGACCTTTGCTGAGGAATCTGGAAGGAACATCCACAGGACATACAGCTCTGGCTCATCAGTGCATGGGTTAAAGAAAGGTGCTTTAGCCACTCTGACCCAGCACTGCATGAGTTAAACCAGCTACGGTCTCTCTTGCTGGGACACTGCAGGGAATGTGGTGTTATGTCCCAGCAATGCAGGGTTAAAAGTGAGCCCCAAGCGCTCACCTGGCTCTGCCAGATCTTTATCTCCATCTATGTGTCCAAGCCCACAGAGTGAACATGCCCTGAACTCCACATGAATGACTGGAGCCTTTCCAGCTGACAACAGCATCTCTGCCCCTCCACCAATAGCAATGCACCGCCACCCAGCACTGGAAGCAATGACATCATTTCTGACCAATGACAGCTCGGCAAAGGGATGCAGCTGCAGCCTTGGAGTGAGATAACTAATATCTAGATAGATGGATGTGCATACGCACGGCCTGGCTGGGTCTACACTAGAGACTGAACCAGTAGCATAGCGCCCAACCTAAGTACCAACACTGCAACATCTCCGCCATAGCCGTGCTGTCTTGGCTTCAGCTTTGCCCCACAGCTCCAGGACTATTTGCTATTGTACTAACTGCTATTCCATAGTACAACTGCTATTCCCCCTAACATTTCAGAGTCCCCCCACCACACACACATCCCACAGTCATGTCTCATTGTTCCAATGGAACGCAGCTGCTGTGAGAGGTCATGGTCGTGGAGAGAGCTGACTTGTTGTGTAGCTATGAGCAATTCCAAAAGAGGGCTTTGAATATCAGGACAGCGACCTTGAACTGGAGTCTGAGGCAGTGCAGAGAGTGGTGTACTTGAGTGATGTGTTCAGTGACCTATGTTACTTAACATACGGGGTGGCGTGTTCCGTACCAGTGGGCGCTCTTTCGGGATGCGTGGCTGCGTTCCTAGAGAGAATGGAGGAGTGAACTGTTGTTGTTTTTGGTATTAAAGACCAGCATGATTGATTGTGCTCATTACACAGACTTTCCCCAGATTCTGCTTTATTATACACCAACAAAAATTCAGGCCAGCTGCAATGGCAAAGCAGAGTAACACAGTTACACGAACAATGGTAACTGAATATTTTACAGGTGCATCTTGCCCATCTAACTGGGGATTCTAGTCCTCTTAGGTGACTGTGGCAGAGGGGTTCAGTACCTGGAGTGAGGGCTATGAAGGAGCTGGAGAGTAGGAGGTGCTCCAAAGAGCACTATTAACCTATATCTGGCAGGTGCCAGGGCCAGTTATTAGGTTCAATGTGATGCCTGAGTCCTTGAAAAGCTCTCATTAGAATTGCCTGGTCTCAGGTCTCCTTCCCCTCTCATTCCACATCTGCCTGGACCTGTCCAGTCTCTTAAAAGCGGGCGTCATTTTTACCTCCTTCCATCATTCACTCCAAGACCCTTCTCAGGTCCCTCTACATGTCTCAAGTATTAGTTTTCCTTGCTTTTCCTGGTCCTTGGGCTTCTTAGCTGTTCCACCATGGATCGCGTCCTCCAGCCCCACATCTGTAGCAGGTGCTACAAAGAAAAAGAAGAGATGGAGTTGACAGCATCCCTGTGCAGAGGGTCCCAGCAAGGGACTGTCAGGCAATTCTTGAGTTCATGAGGAAATTGGGGTTACTCACATGGATCATATCAAAGGAACCACTCCCTGGATGGAGAGGCTAAAAAGTTCTGTGGGATTTGATGGAAACATGCATTACTCCTGCAACTGACTTGCATTTTCAGACACCACTGCCGAGGATCTGGGGGTGAGGGGGAAATAAGGGCTAAGATTAATTCTCTCTGCTAGACTGATAAAAGGTATCTTGTGCCTGACAGCAGGAGGATATGTGGCGTAAGCTAACTCTCATGGCCTGTACTAGTTGTACATAGAAAATAAGCCCAGGACTGTCTTTTGTGCATTAGGTAGAAAGAAAAAAAAAATGGGACTGTAGGTGGGTAAGAGAAACATGTCTCTTATTGCCATGTCTGGCCTAGGGTAGAAAGAGAAAATGGAGTGTAAATGTCTTAGCTATAGGGACCCCATATAATTTTTTTCAATAAAATTCTCTGATTCTCAGCCTCTCTCTGTCCCTTCTAGTCCAGCCGAATGGCATGGCTCAGCCAGGGCATTCTCACCCCGGCTGGAAGCTGATCTACTACTGCAGGGGGATGCCAACCCTGGGGAACTAACCCGCCCATCTGGCTGATGGCATTTGGTGCTGTGCTGCACAGGGACGGGGGGTAGGGAAGCAGGGAGAGGAGGACCCCCCTGCCTTCTTCCAAGCAGTAATGGCAGCATTCCCAGGAACTTGGAAGACTGTCTCAGCTCCCATATAGCTTGGGCAGAAGGTTCTCTTCTCCTGCTGGGCCAGCATGGCTGCTGTGTTGGACTCCCTGAGCAGATCCTGGTAATGTCTGTAGCAGCTCCTAGTATTGTCTAGTTCTTCTGGCGTGACCGTTTCACCACCCCTTTCCTCCCCACTGTGCTGTGAGCTGTCTCCATGCTCTCTGGTAGCATACTGTGTGGCATAGAAGGGCAAGTGCCAAGCACCTGGTCCAGCTACTTATGGAACAGGCATGATCTCTACCCTGCACCAGATGTTCTGTTATTGTCCTGGTCCTTGTGCTGGACCGTAACTCTCTTGATCTCTTGGCATTGCTAACTGCTCTGGGTGATGCCCTTCTCAGCTAGTCAACCAGAATGCCCGGTTACACACCAGAGTGTTCCTATGACAGCATTCAGCTGGCCTTGGATCTCATCTTGCCAGCGCCTGCTTGTCGGCTCCTGGCCAGCTGGCAGCATGCTCATGGGAAGGCCTCCTCTGAGACGCGCTTGTGACTGAAGCGGAATCAAGCTGATTGCTGCTGAAGGAGTTGATTGCTGGGATAATGGCGCGTAACTCCACGGCGTGGACAGGGCTGGTTGTGCACATGGCTTCTGGCACACATGACCCCTGTGCAGAAGGCAGACCAGACAAGCAATTTAAGCAGTGACAGGTGCACTGTGGGAGAAGGAGGGCTGCATGCATGAACGATGCTCTCACACCAGCAATCCCCGTCCTTGCTGGCACTGCACACTGGAGGACCACGCGGCCTTATTCCAAGCATGTCTAATGCACATGGTACACTGCTAGCACGCCTGCATGTGAATGTGCAGTGCGTCACAGGCGTGCGAAGGGGACTAAGTGGTGGCTAATGCAGCACACTCTAGTGTAGGCAAGGCCATCCAGGGACAGCTAGGGAATAAACAGTGCACAGCACAGGGCTGGAAAGCATGGCAGAGCCCCTGCAATGGTGAGGATCTCTCCTTCCAATCAGCAGGGTAGCTCAGGGTGCTCTGTGCTCACAAACATCCCCCCCCCATCTGTAACGCAAGAGTCTCCTGCTCATTCAACACATTCCCTTTTTTCTGCTAGTTTAGCACCTGGCCATCAGCACTAATGCTGTCCTGGCCCCTGGCCAAATCCAGTCTTGGGGACAGTGGGTGCTGCTTGGCTGGGCTTGTTTGGTTTTGTTATCCTGCATATTTGCATATGTGGATGGTGAGGATTTGGGGAAAGCCCAGATGTACGATATTGGCTGGAACCGTCACTAATCGGGGGGGGGGGGGAACAAGTACAAGACTAATCTGTTTATTGCGGGCGTAACATTGGAGGTCTTCAGGCTGACTAAGGCCAGTTTCTTATAAAACAGACTGAAATAGACCAGACTTACTCCTCTCATTTATTCCTTGCTTTTTAAAAAAATAGACTATTTCCGGATGATTGCTATTGAACATTGATATTGTGGTAGCGGCGGGTGGGGCACATGAAGGGGTTGACGGGGAGATGGCTGTAGGGGGAACTGATGCACTGAGAAGTGAGATTCCATGCTCCCACTCTATATGGGATGAGCTGACTCTAGAAGCTTAACATACTGCGGTGCAGGACCCGCTGTATTCCCAGGAGGGAGGGCAGGGGGGAAGCTTTCAGTGCATGGATGGAGTTGTGATGGGATCTTGGGGGCTCGGCTGCATGTGCCCACAGTCTATTGATTGTCTATTTAGATTAGTGGCAAAGGTTAAAGATCCTCCTAGAGTCTCTCTGGCGAGAATGAGGTGTGTGCCTGAGGGGGTTGGAGAGAGATCTCTGGAGCAAGCTACTGGGGAGAGGGAAGGGCCAGTCTCCCAGCTAAATGATGCAATGACTAATTCTAGGCAGCAAACAGCTTTGAAAAAGCTCTTGCGGGCACTTTCTGACCCTCAGCCCTCTTGTTCCTCTGTGCATGCTGAGCTGGGATCACTCCCATATACCCCCCCCATCTGGATTGCCCCCACTTCTCAATATATCTCCCTGTTATTTTCCAAGGTACCCCTGGGAAAGGGGGGGAAACTAAAGCAGGAATGAAACCGCCAGGAGAGCTGTTTTCCCCCACTTTGGGCAGCTCTGAGAGCAGCTGCATCAGCAGAGAAAAGAGGGGATGGATATGGCAGAATCACCAATTCCATCCCCACCCCCCCAAGCCCTCGCACTCTCAAGCACTAGTGACTTCAATAGGATCCCCCCACTGTGGGGAGTCCCACCCCAAACCCCCACCGCTCCACCCCCTCTGTGTGGATCATGTACTGCCAGGTGGGCCCTGCAGGCTACATCCTTCCGCTCCCTGCTTCCCCTTCAGCCCTAGAGGCTAGTTTGGGAGGTGTTTTATTGGGAGCTTTTGCTGCAGGGGAGGGAGCTGCCGTGAACAAGCTGCTGCCGCCACTCACACGGAGAGATGCGGGCTTCTCCGTGTCAGAGGATGGGGTTGTCATGGCAACAGTATCTGCTCAGGCCTAGGCCCCCTGGGAGGGAGCTGGACTTTGGCTGCATCCCCTGGCTACCATTGGTTGTTAAGAAAGTTCAGCCGGGTTGAATGGGTTTGCCTGTGTGTTTAAGGACTTGAGGGCAGGAGCTTGCAGGAAACCTGCTGCTCCCCCTCAAGTCAGTGGGAGTTCTGAGTGCTCTGAACCTCACAGGACTGGGCCCCAGTGCCGTCAGAGGAATTCACACCCAGCGCTCCAGTCCAGTGGTAGAGACATAGGGTGCCAGGGCTCGAGGGCTCCAGAAGAGTGCAGGGCTCACCCCAGCACTCTGCTGCAGGTTCGCAAGAGCCACCAGCAGGTGAAAGAAGAAAGGGTCTGGTGTGTGGGATCTGGTTGGAGCCCATGCCAATGTAGCCAGTGCAAAGGATTCTGGGATATGTCAGGAGCAAGGTAGCCAACCCCCTCTCTGCCTAGTATGCCACTGGGCAGTCCAGTACAGCTTCACAGAGCACACAGCAGAGAGCTGAATGTGGAGCTGCTGTGAGCAGTCCAGATCCCTTGAAATCAATGGAGTTTCACCTGCTGGTGACAGATCTGGAGTTGGCCCCTTCTGGTCTTAGGCTGTATCTACTTGGTCACTGTTGTTCGAGTCCAGAGAGTTCAAATAAAATGTCAGACAGAGGAAAGGGAGAAGAGAGACTTTAAAACAGGAGGAAGGCTGGATGGAGCGAGAGAGAAGGCAGCCGTCCAGAAGGCCATGGCTGCAGAGCAGAAGGCGGTTGCACCTCAAGCACCTAGTGCATGCGGAGGTGGGCGTGGGGACAGAAAGAAAGCAAGTTTCTGTTGAGCACGGAGGGGGAAGGTCTGTGGGTTAGCTAGGGCAAGTCCAGGGAGGAGTTAAAAACAGAAGGGCAGTTTTCTGGTTCCAGGACAAATGAACATGGTGCCAGCAGACCAGAGGATAGGAGGGTATAATCATGCGTCTGCGTACTTTCCCCAGCTACCTCAAGCCATAGAGAATGGGGTTGTAAGAGGAGATAAAAGCTTGGCTCGGGACTTCAGCAGAGGTGGCATACTGTACACGCAGGGAATGCCTGGGAGGTGATGACAGGCAGATTTGCGGATGGAAAGCTTGTGGTTTAGGATGATGCCTAGGTGGAAGGCACATGGGAGGTCTGATTGCCCAAGACAGAATAATCTGCTTTAGACAATTAGCTGAAGGAAGCTGGGAGGAAACCACAAGTTTACTTGGTCAAGAGTGATGGGGAGGAATCATTAAAAGTGTCAAGAGATGGAGAGCCAAGTATCATCAGGGTAGAAATGGTTCAGGTTAAAAACAGAAAAAGGATTGAGGTGGTAGAGAGCAGGAGGAGGAAAGGAACCTTCTGGGACTCTGCAGAGAAGGGATCTCCACCAGTGGAAGAGTTTAATAGGCAGGAGCAGATCCATGACCACAGAGCACTTGATAGGGACTCAGGAGAAGGAGTCCTCGATGGTGACAAAGGCTTCCCTGTGGTCCAGGATAGTGAGGCAGGAGAAAGCTCCATGAGCAGAAGAGAAGCCTCACTCACTGTAATGTGGCTTCCAGGCTCTGGCCAGAGTGAGAACAGCCCACCAGAGAGGTGGTTGGAGAGCTGAGACAGAGCCGAGACAGAGCCACGCTCTCTAGCGTCCTGCTAAGAAAGGAGAGGGTAGATGGTGACAGATGTAAAAGAACAGGGGCAGAAACGGATAAAGGAGCTAACCGCAGAGAAGGTCTGGAGAGCAAATAGACCTGTGGCAACAGGAATAGTGGAAGGGGAGCAGACAGGAAGGTGTTGGGCATGGAGGCAACGTTCTAACGAACCAAGGCCAGCTGTCATGCAAGTGCATGTCTGAAGCACTTGCCTGTGGATGTGTGTGTGTGACCCTTTAATATCCTGCCAGCTGGACCATGGCTAGTGGTTTACTTCCAACTTCAGCCACCAGAGGCCTCAGTGAACTCTGCCGGTGCTGGGGCAGGGCAGCCCTTCTACCTTGTATCCAGATCAGAGACATGGGGGGGGAATAGAACCACAATTATTCCAAATCCCTATTAGTTTTAATGGGAATTCTGGCAGAGTAGGAACGCAAGAGCCTAGCCATAAATGGATGTGGTGATCACAGTTATTCGGTGTATTAGCAATTAGCATCACATAATCAAAACGGGTGACAAGGGGCTTCAAACCTCTAACCGATGGAGTGAGCCAAACTTTGCTGTCAGTTACACCCTGGATTGCAGTGCACTTGCATCATTGTACCTGGGAATATGGGCCAGTAGGTATAATAAAGAGGAGGAAAAGGTGGAAATTAAGCTAAGGAAACTTTAATAGTGAGATGCTTGTATCTGCATTACAGATGAGGAAACTGAGGAGGCATGATTTGCCTGACGCGGTAATATGAGAATGGAACCCAGGAGTTGTAACGCCCAGGCCCCACTGCACTAGATCAGCACCCTTCTTTGGAAGGCAGTGCTAACGTGTGTTACTGCCAAAGCCTTTGGCACCAATAGTTCAGCACTGGCCCAGAACGTGGGACTAACACGAAGCTGCAGGACTGTGGGTCATGCCTGTATTAAGTGGTGCTCCAGGATTCTTTCTATCCAAGAGAAGCCTGCATGAGTGTGTGTTGTGCGAAATAATGCAATGGGAGGACCCCGTGGCACTGCAGCTGCACAGGTGTAAATCCAGAGCGGCTCCTTTGAGATGCTGCGCTGGTTTATTGGAGAGCCTAGCCTGTCCCTTGCAGGAAACAGGCTCCGAGGTCTGGGCTTGTGTACGTGAGTGCATGTCCGGCTGTGGAGCTCCACTGTGCGTTTGTGACTGGGCATCCTCTGGGAATCCTGTCATCTCTCCAGGACGCGGAGTCTGAGGAGGGTGGTCTTGGGCCTGAGTCCCAGCTTCAGCTGATCCGAGACATTACATCATTCCCTTGTCTCTCTAGGGGGCGGGGGAGGGGAGGATTGGATGTTTTAGGCTCAGGTGCATGAGTGTTAGTAAAAAGCTCATTTTTATGCAAAAGATTTCCTTTAAATCTGTCATTATTATTCATGATACTAGCAGGCTAACAGAGTGGAGTTAACCCTTTGGTGGATGGGTCTCTTGTGTTACTCCTACATGATCCATCCTTAACCACAGGGTGAGCTTTCCCCAACAGTGCACTGATTACAAATCAAAGTGGCTTTTTTAAATTTTAGTTGCCCTGGTCCAGACTCAACCCCTGCCTGCATTTCAAATCCTGACCACAATGCCGCTCACTTCTCTGGCCTCCCGCTGGGAGGTATCATCCAAATATGCTGATTATTCCAACCTCACAGTTGTGTGCATGGGGGGTGGGGGACAGCTGAAATGCTGAATAGCTTTGCAAGGAAAAAGCATCTGTTTACATCTAGAGAAAGGTTCTAATACTATCCTACACATGAGCCTGCAGAAACTAC